GAAAGCTGTAAGCACGTCAAATTCATGGGGAATATTTATTAAGTCTAGCGCAAATACTAATAGGTCAGCGTAGTCTGCTGCATCGATTATGTCTACCGTACCGTATCGAAGCTTTGATGCATACCGCGATTTAATATAAACCGCGAGCACTAAGTTCTTGCTCGCATATGTGAATTATGCGTACAAGTGCGTACAGGGGTTTAAATTCAGTGGACTCGTTGTCAGTCCGATTGAACGCTCTGATTTATACTCTCTGGCGTAGGGAAATGGAAAAAGTGTCGCAGGACTCGCATATTCAACAAGCAATAATAACACGTAATTATTAACACCCTTAGAAAAAAATATCTCGAAGACGAGGTAACTTCATTGAATTTTATTGTAATTTCGGAAGACATACAGAGCTGGATATTTAAACGTCAGCTTCCTATTTATTTTCCAGACCGACGAGGACTGTTCAAAGCAGCAGGTCCTGCCTCGAAATATTTTGATATCGAGCTCGTGCCGCGGGAATCCTTCGAGTTAAATCGATATTTCAATTTGCCGACGCACTATCGGGCGAGTGTTCGCTGCCGATGATAGGGCTTATGACGCTACCCGACAGCTCGCTGATGTTATTAGCGGATTCCAGGAGATTATCTCTCCCGGTATTCGAGAGTGCGAATTATCCCGGGCGATATCGCGTCTCCGCGAGCGGCAATGCGATTAAAGCCGGGAAAATTCGGAAAATCGTGGGGGATAAATGGTGGGAAAAAAACTGATGCCGACTATTTCCCCGTGGAAAATGGAGAGAGGAAATGATACCTGGACTTCCTCGGAAATATTAGGATTTCTCGATAAAAAGAAAAGACGAGTTTCTGCTCCCGATCCCTGAGCCCGGAGATTAATTGACAAAGGGAAACGAGCGAATGGAACGAGCGCTGACGCACGTCCTGGAAGTGTGCCATTTTTTACGCCCCGCGAAGTTATTCCCCTCTTTCGTATCGATATTTCAATTTACCGACGCACCGTTCCCCGAATTAATGCCTCGACGATGGGACGTCCGAAAGCTCGTCGGAGTCATTAGCGAATTCCGGGAGATCATCTCTAAAGACATTTGCGAGCGGAAGTTGTGCCTCGCGATATCGTCCTTCGCAGGACACCGAGGCGATTACGTTCAGGAAATCCTGGTCGGATTCGGACCTGGTCCTGGAGAAGAAAAAACGAGGGATGAGATATATTCCTATAGAATAATTCTATTCATCGGCATTTATCTACGATTTACACGAGGCGACCTGGACTGGGGTTCTCTGATTTTTGGGAAATTTTACCGCGTAAGCTAGACTATCTGATTCACTTGCCCGGTGGCCGAGTACTTGGCGCGGAGCTCAGGTGAGATGTTTTTTTTATGGGGACTCTTGGATAGCACTTCCGCCTGGAAGTGGTCTCTTTTCCTGGTCCGACCGAAATCCTCGATGCACCGTACAAAGGAAGGTCGATATCCCCTCGCGTATCATCCCTCGTACTTCGCGGCACCGTGCTTCAAGCCTTATCTAAAGCCCGAGCATAGTATCGGAACGATGCTTAAACGAGGACCCTCCAAATGGTGTCTTTTTACGCCGACCAATACAATGGATTTATTCTCTCCCTCCTCGCTCGCCTCTCCGTCGAGCTCTCCTTCGAAGGCTGCGTTCTCCGAGACAGCCAGGAAGATTGCTCACCAACGAGAGGCTATCCTTATTTCCGGCAGGTGCCTTCGAAGGTGGAGGTTCCATCGCGGATGGATATCCTTAATCATCCGAAGAATGATCGAGCGGGAGAGTTCCCTCTTTACGACCCACAACTAATCTGGCCAGGAGGCGTTCCAGGACTTCGCTATAAATGATGACACCACGTTGTTTAGTTTTTCACCTAAATTCCAAAAAATTGAGGTAACCCCTCTCGTAAATCATAAAAATGCGAACATAAAGATATACGGGGAATTCCCATCTAGGAACTCGATTTTGAGAATTCTTTTCCCTCTAGACACCTCATAATTAATCTGGCCAGGAGTACCAAGACTTCGCTATAAATGGCGATACCACGTTGTTTTTACCTAAATTCCCAAAAATTGAGGTAACGCCTCTCGTCGATTAAACTTCGCGACTCCGGCCGAGGGATGCAAATCGGACCGATACACGGAGTTCGCATCCTGGGAACTCGATTAGGCGAATTTGGTAGGACTCTTGGGAGGGAACTCGGCCAACTTCCGGCGTCCATTGAATCCAGGAGTTAGGGTATCTCCGGAGTTGGCCGGTAGTTGTCACGAGGCGTCATACTCGAAGCTCTCGTTCCCTTTATCGCTCGCCGATATAAAAAGACGAGATGCTCTCGGCCGTTCGGCAATTACTTAAACGCCACTCGCACGCTCGTTCCATTCGGAGTGGCACTTTTTCCCGAGTCACGTGGGCTCGAATCGGCCCTTCGGAGGATTCGGTAATAATTCGATTCCGTATTGACGGCTAGCGACGTTAATGACATCGGGCACCGGGGAGGCGATAAAAATGACAGAGCAATTACTGGCCGTAATGCAAAAATTCCTCCGCAGAGGGGACGTATCATCGACACGGGATGGGCGGTTTCTGCAGAACTAATCTCGTTTAAAGCGCCGATCGATTCCTGCCGATGCAGTCGCGCGGGCACGCGAGTACGTACGATAATTGAGCCGATAATGATCTTACTGTCACTCTACTTACCTCCGCGGACGCGCGGAATCTCCGCACTCGAGGCTAACAAAATTAATGTCAAAGTGCTGCCTGCCTTTGTAGATCTCTAACTCGATTCCCCGTCGTCTAAGGATCACCCACCATGAAGATGCGACTTTTTCCCCCGACTGAACCCATCGTTTACAATTTTTATTAATATCATATACCAGCCTGGGCAGTATTTTCCAGCCGGAATGTTTCACCTAGAGGGGTGATTTTTCTATTTCACCGTTTATTCGTGATTAGCAGCCTTAATTTCGTATCTGAGATTTCGTTGTCAGAAGATACTCAGGTGAGACGAGAATGGCCTCTCTCGTTGGTGCAGGGTGAATGACGATTAATGGGCGTGCGGTAATGCATTTAAGACTCCCAGGTCGCAGGGCTCTCAGGTTGGGAATTTCACCAGCTGGTTTCTTGCCGTCTGGTGGATTTTCTGAATGTCTCAGTGGTTACCGCGGCCATTAACGGCCCCGCCTTTGTTTCCTTTGTTGCTCGCGTTCACACCACTTTTACGGAGAACTTTCAGGAGAAGGACTTTCGCGCGAGGAGGGATGCGAGGGCGAAATAAGGGGGTACGTGCTCCGTATTAATTATACACTTTACGGGCCATTGTGAAAGGCCAGAAGGAAAAGTTGAGAAGTCAAGTCTCATTGGCTGGAGTGCCCCGGTCGTACTCGAGACTCGTGTACCGCTTAAGTGCAGAATTTCGAGTGAATTGCGTCGAGTTAGACACACCCGACGTTTGCGTGCATCGTATCATCCACTCGTTGATTATCTTTAATTAATTCGTAATCAAGCCGCGGTGGCTCCTTTCGGAAATTCAATCGAAACGGATCCAATTAGTTAACATTTGTGAAATTTCCATTACGGGAATATCTAGATTTAATTGTTCCAAAGTAACGAATACTCGTATGGGCATGTCGGCCCGCGTGTTAATTATTTAATCAGTTTAATTATGTCTCAGTTTCCCTGGGTCAATCATTTTTTATACGGTTTAACTAATTCGACACGTTGCCTGAAGTTTAATTAATGCGCCGTAGCGAAGAACAATGGGTCTTGGAATATGAATAAGCGCAAAATGGTGTTTGTTGTTGGTTTTATGGGAGATGCAACGGAGAGAGGGATTAATTATATTTTATCTCGATTTACAAAATAATACCACATTTAGGGGGCTCTGGAATTTTATTTCAAATTCGGTAGTTTTGTATATTCGTTTAGTAATTTCGTTTAAATATTTCTCGAGTTTCGAGCTCACTTTATATGATGTTTTCGAATCCGTGCGAGGCAGAATGTTCGATATTCTTGGAGGAATACCGTTTGCATCGATTTTCCCTTAGAAAAGTGCACATTCTTTACGATTCGTATTACCGCCCCAGGTGCAGTAGTTCCTTCATACCGGGAATATATGTTTTAGCAAGACAGTGCTTGAAAGATGCAAGGGAGAAGTCGCGAGGACACAAAATACGAAAGAAAGAAAAAAACACCACCTATGTACCCGCCCTTCCACTACGAGACAATATCAGAAAATAAGAGCACAATTTTTGCAAAAATTGACTTATCTCTGGTAACCATAATTATACGTTCCTCCGATTCCCCAAATGCAATCTGTTTGCGATACATCTTTCAGTTATCATCGCAAGCTATGCACGGTACAATTCACCAGCGGTTTAATAAATCACAAAGGATCAAACTGCCGCGATATGCAGAGTGGCGGATAATTACTGCGGTGATTAATAGTGCGGACTGACATTACCCAAAAGATGGATACGTGAACCTGTCATATCGGTCATATATCGATTAATAAATGATAACTCCCCGGCGTAACAGCCCAGCCAGTCGGATAAGAATTCCAGAAATTTTAGCCAGAAGTAATAAATTGCTCGCAGGCATTTTTTAATTTTTTTTTCAATTTTTCCACCCGCACCTCTGCATCGGCATCTTATTTTGTCAGGAGCAATTCCTGCCCCCTCGATGAGTTTATAGTTCGGCGCAAAAGCACCGCTCGCGGATAAGAGCCCTTCCTGGGGTGCAAAGTTAAATACGAGGAGGAGGTTAGCTCGTGGAAAATTAAATACGAGCTCGCTTTAACTCCCCTCGCGTATTTAACGTCATGCGTCGGAAAGAGATATAAATTGCAAATTAGGACCGGCACGATTGTCGCGGCCACGCAGCGCTCGGAGGAAGAGCCGTTTCTCACCTTCCGGACGCCACTGGCTTCTCTAAATGTATGTATGAACCTCTCGTATATATTACGAAGAGGGTGAAAAAACGAACGCTTACCACATTTGAGGAGGACGAGAATCAGAACCCACAATGACGACCATTTGGACGACCAACTCATGTCCACTGCGGCATCGGTGGCTCGTCCTACCAGCAACCTCTGGAAATAATTAATTAACAAATTTTAACGCATCGTCGGTGTAATACACGAGGATATTTAATAGTCCTTCCTCTTATCCTTTTGTCCTCCAATTAAGGTGGACGAAAAATTCTTCACACGACTCGGCCCTTCGGGGCTACAATCACGAAGAAGGTCTCGATGTAACTTCGCTTTGATTTTATCGCCCCGGTTGTAGGAACCTCCCGAAGGCGCACTCGTTAGCATAAATGAACCGGCAAATGGTCGACAACTACTACAACGAAAACTCGTTACGACGCCGAGAGTCCTTTCACGAAATTCCGATTGATGAATTTCCATTGCCAGCGGCTCGCTGACTGTGGAGCGGAATATATAATTTCTGCATGCAGTTACGTGTGGCCGAGACGTAATGTGATGTATATATAACGTCTACATTGTGGAGGAATTTCTGGAAAAATTTATTAATGGCGAGTTGGCCTGATACCGATCGCTAGAACGACGTTAAATTCTGGATATCTATGTTATAAGTGGAAATATGTATATATTTAATAAATGAAAATATATTCGTTTATTTGATCAAATCTTCAGAGGGACCTTGGTAATTACCGTTTCTCTCCCCTTTGTCCATCTGATTTTACAGTCCTTTTGTAAATTCGGATCCTCGCTTTATGGACGAGTTAACGCTGATCGCGTTTCAATGGCGGTATCGGCCGTCAACGATGAAGTGCAATATCCGGACACTGCAAAGACATCAAAGCAGATACCCTGTGGGACCTCAAAAGCATGCTACCGAGAGTGCAACGCGTAAAGGTATCCGAGAAAATCCCGACCTCTCGACAGATGCAATTCCGTGGGCAAAGAATGCTGCCAAAGAATGGGCTCTTTGCCGTTCAAGAGATTTCTCAGACTCCGGCTAACTTTTCGCGCCGACCGCGGACTTAACATGCTAGAGGGAGCCTCGAAGAAGGGAAAAATTCCCTGTGAAACTCCACAAATGTGGGTAACACCCAAAAAGTAGATTTTCATGGAATTGAATCCAGTATTTGCCTTACGGAGAAAGCCTTTTACTTGTCAAGGGGTGAGAAAAATCCAAAACTCCTCCCCGTAAATCCCGCTGGCCGTAAAATCGTCACCGCTCTATCGAGTGGGGAAGTAAATCAAGAAGTTTCCGAAGAATTTCGAAAATCGAACTTGGATATCCGGACGGGCGATTATTTCATTGAAGAATTAACGCCACCGGCGTATCTACGGCCGAATCGGAGGAGAAAGCCGAAAGCGCGATAGCGGAGCCTCTGAGTAATGAAAGAAAGTTGCAAAGGAGTTAAGAGAAAGAAAGAAAAAAAAAGGAAAAAGAAGGGAGGAGGAAAAGTATCGCTCTTTCGAGGGGGTGAATGATCGGCGCAATTTTCTGCGCACGGAGGGGTGGGAAATGAGAGGAAAGAGAATTGAACAATTGGGGTCGTCAAGAGGTCGGAATAAATATTTATTAATTACAGAATATAGGCACGTTGTAACATCGGCGGGTGCATGTCGTGTAGGGATTATCCGTGCAGCCATGGTCTAACCGCAAGCCTTTCGAAGTTTGGCAACTCCATAGATTCTGTATGCAATGTGGCGTAACAAAACCCTCGGTATGCTCGATGGGAGCCTCGGTACGAGTTGGAAACATTTGCGGTAGATCGTGCATCGGCAATATGCGAAAGGTCCACCATTAGATAATTAACCGAAATGATAATAAATCGGTGCGATCTCATGTTCATGGAACCGATGACATCGCCGCATGCCAATAATTAATTCCAAACGTCAAGCCCAGACCATGTCCTCTTGCTATGCCATTTAATAAATTGCACGTTGTCCCGTAATACGTGAAAGCTCTAAGATAAAAATCGGACTAAAAGTGGAAAGAAAAATAGAGATGAACACGCCCGGGGAAAACTCGTTTAAGGGGCGGCCCCGAAACTTCAGGAGCACGGCACTGCACTTCTTACAGGACTGCCGTGTCGATTCGATTAATGACGAGGAAAACTTGGAACACTCGAGGATCCCCTGCACCGGGTCAGACTGGTTCGAGTTGCTGCAACGAATCAAAACCTTGCCAACCTAAGTAACGAGCAAAAAGTGCGCTAATGCGGCTGTTGCAAAATCCGCAGTTTCCACGCGAAGCCCCAGGACCGTGCAAGAGACAGGGCTTAGAACCAGATGCAACCCTGGGAATATTAATCTCATTAGGTACTTTGCCAACGAAATTAATCCGTGGCTTAGATTTCCTAACGAGTAAGTCACGGCAAGAAAAATGTTGCTTGACATTTTCCTAAAATTATGAGCATATAAAATATCGACACGTTACGTCGCGGGGTAAATTGTAAAAGGAAAATGAAGCTGAGAGTAGGGAGGAGGGAATTCCTAATAAATATGAATTGGCATGTTTTAGTCGATCGTGTCAGACAGGTGGCATTCTCTTCGGTCATGCAGGATTTTAAAATCTATTGGAATCGTATTTTTCCATTTAATCATCCCGCTTTATTGGAGGAAAAAAAAAATTAATTCTTGCCATCGCGTCAGGATCAGAGCAGTGCACGTTCCGGGACTTGTCCGACGTCTCGGCAAACATCAGCCTCGCTGCTCTCGATCTGGCGAAAGCTCAATGCATCCTGCATCTTCGCGTTCGCCTCTTGGCGCATATCATCCTGCACTCGGATCCCTGTTGACTTTGCCATCGCGATTCTCTGCAGCTGCTTCGTGCGTATCTCCGAACTCATTCCCCATTCCAGGTGCTCGTTTACCTGACGTACCTCTGATCCGTCATCCCGGAAGGATGTGGACTGTTTCGATGTTTCCTTCGGCGCAGGTGCAAGTGGAAATGAAAAGCCGGGAATATATTTCGAGATAAATTCCACGAGGCACCGATGTCGAACCGAGTCCTGCAGCCATTCGAGGACGATCGAGGCGGTTTCCAGGCCACTCGCGAGGTTCGAAGTGCCTCATGATAAGACCTATCAGAGGTGCTTTTCAGCGCGGATAATTACCGCCTTTTTATCGTCGAGAGACAATTCCGGATTGAGCCCAGCTTAATCGAATCGCGCCTCTGGCCGAGGCTGGTAAACATTGTTTCCGGAAAAAGAACACTCAGGGGGAGCGCGATAATTGTTCATCCGGCTGAGTACCTTTTGGTTATTCTCTTCCATTTACCGATCCAACTCGAACAACTCGTTCCAGAATGCCAACGATAGCTTTGCATGCTCTGCAAGGACGGAAATCAAGGAAAATCATCCGAAAGAAATTTTGTTTGCAGCACGTGTTGTAATAAATTGAGGAAATAAAGGAGGGTTGTCTGAAAGGAGCTGAAAAAGATTCTTTGATCGCGGAGTGGAGGAGAGCAGGGGAGAGGGTGCTGATGATGCTATCAGCGTTCCGAATCCACAGGGGAGAAGTAGGGCTGATAACTCCAAAACTGAGGAAAAATTGCACACGGTGATGCCTTTTCTTTTTCGGTGATAACGGCACACAGGACGAGGAATCTACAGGAGGTGGATAAGGGGGAAGGATATTTATATCTCCGATTCTGCCAGAATTCGGTAGGTCCGCTGTCATTTACCGATGTATTTCGGGCATCCTCGCTCGATCTCCACGCGATATCGGGGTAATAGTAAATTCAGAACGGTATGGGCTTGCATAAATCAGACTAGACCACTAGACGGTACCTACAGGGGAGGCTCAATTGTTGGCAAGCAATGCGATGGAGTTGGGTGAAACATTGGTGCCGACCGTTCCGGTGAGACAACCCAAGGCAAAAGTCCCACCAATTTCCTAGACGCACATTTTGGTCTTCACATCTACCAAAAATACCTAGATCATCCCTTGGTCCATCCACCCGATGTCATAAAAATGCCTGTCAAGAAAAAAAAAAAAAAAAATACCCTGGAAATAAAATCCACGGAACCTGATTTTTCCTCCCAGCCAGGATAAATGTCGCTCGGGTCAGCCATTTGCGATTGATTTTTTTTCGATCAAAGGATGAAAGAAGGGCCCTAAAGTCAACTTAAGAGCCTTCCAACGGACGTGGCGGTCACTGGCAGTACTCCACGCCTAATCAGCGATTCCTCCATCCATTCGTCCTCGAGTGGTTTGACGATCGAGAGAGTCGCGGACAATGAGGAAGGGGCACTCGTTCCACGCGAGAATCCCACGTGTACACAAACTAAACGCTCCGTCGTGGGAGTTCCGGGGGCACTTAATCCAATTGAAGTCTGAACAGGTGCTTGGTACCCGGAACTGCGTAAGCGAGGACGGGACGGAAGCCAAAGGAGCTCCTGGACCGCCTCCTTGGGGGAGTGCCGTGGTATCACCAAAGGGATCCCTCGAGCTGATCCGGACGGCGATATCCACTGGTGGCGGACGTCCTCTTCAATTCGATCCGACTTCAAAATGGCTCCACTTCGGCCGAGTATGCGCTACTCATTCTTTTACTCCACCAGGAGCTTTGATATCTGATTAAATAGCGATATCGGGGTTACTTAGTCGGAAGATCTTCAAGATGGAGCTTGAACCGAGGACTCGTTATGTTCAGTGGTCACACTGATTTTCTTTTCTTTTTTTTTTTAATTCTGATAATTGTTATGTCGGGAGTGGTTCATCGAGGATGTTGGATAAAGGGGTATCTGACGAAGTATACCTATCTCCTGTTCCCCACCCCAAGGAGCCCACCCCTAATTCCAAATTGGTTCCCGTGAGACCTCGGCGCATCGGAAATCGGATTATTATATCAGGTCGGAATTTGTCAATGCGAAAGTAATTTCGCGGAGGTGTCGTAAAACGGGGAGTGGCGAGCACGTAACATTTTGATCCCGGTGCAAATTAGTGGTGTACCCCTCACAGGCCGGATCCATAAGGGCGGCGCTTTGCCATTGGCCGTTTCGTAAGGGCTGTTACTACTGCGAGGTTGCTCAGTGATTCTCAGTCGATTGGGCTCTTCCTTGAAATGC